CCCCAAAACCCCAAAACCCCAAAACCCCTTTGTGCTAACTGGGTATTGTATCTTGGGATTTTTAATATTTTTAGTTGTATTTTGAGGTTTGAAATGGATGGAAATAATTTAGATGAAGAGGATAATCAGTTTAGAAACGTTTTATCTTGAAAAAGTTCCTTTCAAATCCAATTTATTAACAGATACTAGAGCCTTCATCCCCAAATCTTCTATCTACTAAAGTTTCACATAAATTCCAGCAACTTCTCCTTTTAAAAATTCCATCTCACCCCAAAATCACCTCCCATACGCCTCAAAAACCTTTTCCCTAATCCACAAACCTTGCTACCTCCCCAACACTCCTCTCTATCCTAATCCCCATTCCCTCACCTCCCATCCATCTTCCTTAACCCCTTAAATCACTCTCCACAGCCCTTTAGTCTATCCCATTGCCCTTAAGTCCTCTATTCCATTCTGAATTCCCAATTTCATGAAATATAGTCACGGTTGCAACCTCTTCTTCACATGCCATATCTTTATTAATGGGGCATGAAAGATATGACATTCGAGAATGCAGACGAGGCAGATTGGGTTATGAAATTTTAACAATAGGAGCAATAGAGCCTAAAATACAAATGATTTTTCAGAATTTAACCTGAGGTGCTTTCTCGAAACCTCAACCTGATATCTAACGATCTTGATTAATACCATCCCTCACCTAACTCCCAACCCAGAGTCCACCTTCCCAATTCTCTCTAATATCCCCCACTCCCCATCCCCTATTATCATTTCTACTTAAAACCTTATTCTGGCTCAAAATCGTTCTCTAACTAAGCTATGAGCTCCTCTGTTTTATGTGGAGATTTTGAAGGGTTTTAAAGGAAGAAAAGTGGCGTTTAAAGTTGTTTTAGGTGAAGTAGAGATGGGGTGGGGAGGGTTTAGGAATGGGGTATAGGAGGTAAGGAGGGGGAAGGGTGTATATGGGGTTAAGGAGTGAAGAGAGGGGGATTGAGGGAATTAGGGGTACGTGGATGAGGTATTGGGATTGTTTTTAGAGAAGGAAATTGGATTTTTTAGGTCTAAGTTTTTGATTAAAATTCATGATTGAGGAGGTATTATTAAGAGTTATTAATTGAGGGTTTTAAATTGGGATATCTTTCAACCTCATTATTCTTCTTTCTCAGACGTAAAAGCAACATGGGGCCCTCTTAAGGTGTTCAATCAGTTCGAAAAATTATGATAAAAAATAGAGTTTGGAAAATTCTCATAATTTTTCTTGAAAAGATTTTCAGAATCTATAAATGGTTAAAGACTGAACTGAATTAGCAACTTAGGTGAGGTTATTCAGGCATAAAAGTTATATAAAAGTTATGACTTTATTCCTCTGTGCTGGATCTAATTATTAATAGATGGCAGAGATCCATCTTGCTTCAAGTTTATTGATGATAAAATATTTTAAGATATCTTGATTGAAAAATATTAGTTTAAGAACTTCAACTATCTTCATTGATAAAATTACTAATTTCTTAATCCCAAACCTATCTTCTCACACACATCTAAATTCTAATTTTTAACTCTAAAACCTACTTACCCTACCTTCTCCACCAGACTAACCCTATACTCCATTGTTTTGTTCATCACATCTCTGACCACATTTCATTCTCGGAGGCAATCTCTGAATAAAACTCATTGTTAAATTAACAAATGTAGTACAAAATCTGAGTAACTTTTAAAAATCGAAATATTAAAAACAGTTGACAAGAAATGTATAAATATGGTAGCATGAAGATCCTAGTCTTAGTCTAAGAGGAACTTTAATTGCTGTTCTAATGCCTTGTTATTAGGAGAGGAAATGTTTCTGATTGAAGTGAAGTCGTAAGTGTTTTTAGAGTAGAGATAGCTTCTTATAAATTCATTCACTTGAAATACAATGGGTAATTTTAGATTATCCCAAAACGTTGGACCAATCTAACCTGGGAGGTTAAATCCAGGTTCTCTGATAGTCTTTAGAAGGCTTCAAAACTGTAATAATTAATAGGTATAGATTCTTTCTTTATTGAACCTTCAGAGAAATAACTTCTAGAGTCTGAGTGAAGCTAAAAAGTACATGAAAAAGCACCACAAAATAGAATTTAATCTTCCTATATACCATAATATTCTGTATCATTGCCGACTAAAAAGCAGAATCTAGGCGCCATCAAACTTTTGAGCTTAAAATTTCTCGTAAACTAGGGTCTATTTCTAAGGAGGAAATCCTAAATCTAGCCTTAAAAAAAACAGGAAGGGATCTAATAAATAAATTTAAGGATTTTAAGCAAAAGAGACAAAGCCAGAAAGATTGAAGCGGCTTTTAGAAAAGAATTTAGAAATTTTCAAAAATCCAAAACTGAGAAGTCTCATGGAAAGATGTATTATGTCATTATGTTAAAAACTTCTCATCTGAGCTAGTTGATAAAGATGGTCTCTGGCTATGAATATTACTATTGATTTTATCACCCATTTGAATTCATGACAACAAGAGTAAGACATAGGTTAAGCATCACCACATATTCATAGTAACCAGGTTGATAAATTCCTTCGATGTGAGCTATTGGATGCTACTTAAAAATAAATTTTAATCTTAATATTAATAAAAATGAATTTTCTTAATTTTAACAATACAACAGATTGTACTTTTCAGCAGCTGATGAGAAACTTAGATACCATGAAACAGCTCGACGATGTATACTCTTTGAATCAAGTTAGAAAAATAGCACCAGAAGCTCAAGATTATTGACTTTGCTCTCTTGACGAGGCCCCTGTTCCTTCAAATTTCCAAGTTGATGCGATTGATAACTCTCCAAATAAATTTAGTGCTAAATTTTCAGAGAAACTTTCTAAAAATATTTTATCAAAGAATCAAGAAACTCAAGAAGAAAAAGATGAGCCGAATAAAGAAAGAATAGTCATAAAAAAGAAAAAACGTTATAGAGAGGAGCTTGACATCACAAAGAAACTTAAAGGATTGAGATGGCTTATTTTGAATCAATATATAACTAAATTTACTTCCTCTCGAAAGAACGCAAAAAGTTCAACTAAAGATCTTCTAAGAAGAAGATCCAAGTACATCGGTGTCTCTAGGAACAACGCTAATTGGCAAGCTCTTATCAACGTCAACAAAATCAAACGTTACATCGGTACATTCTCTTCCGAACTCCAAGCCGCTGAAGCATACGACCTCTACTCATTCGCACTTCGTGGAGAACAAGCCCCTCTCAACTTCGCCTACACTCCCCTCCAAATGCTGACCAAAATCGAAACCTTCCTCTCCCATACTCCCCCATAAAATCTTTCAAAAATCCACCAAATCTTCAATTTCCTCTTCAAGCCCCGGGGTTTTGGGGTTTTGGGGTTTTGGGGTTTTGGGG